TTGTATGGCACTTATGTCAACAAGTTTGCAAAGTGCTTCACAGAAATCCATGGCAAAAAATGAATGAATTAAAATAAAAGGTATTCAGTTCAATTTTTAAAAAACCATAATAAGGTCGAGACCTCTACATTCATACAGTTCAATGAGAAACATTTTGGCAACCAAGAAAAACTTCATGATGTGAAATCAAAAAGTCAAAAAAGATCGTATATATCTCCATAACCATTTTTATGACCTTACAACACAGTTTTGAAGTCGCACCATTTGTATCAGCCGCATCAGACCGAGCCAAACCCAACAGACCTGTGTTTGATCTGACTTGTTTAAAATACAAACTGAGCTTTAGACTACCTGCTGTTTAGTCAGTGTAGTTACGAGCCAACAGAACAAGCCGTGCTCTACATAATAAGAAATACTAGGTCCTGTAAGAAGAGCGATATACTTTCAAAAATGTGTGTATAAAAGAAATAAAGAAGCTGAAAAGATGACGAAGAATAGAATATCGTGCTAAAGATGGCAAAGTGAAGAGCTGCACAGAAAACAGGGTGTTACAGTCATGAAGGGTAAAGAAAGGTTCTTCACATAACGTTCTTACAACCATGAAAAGTATTTGCACATCAGGCACTTTGTAAAAAACAACAATGAAAAGCTTTTAAAGTCATTTGGAAACACATAGGATCTTTTCTTTCCAAATAAGTCAAAGTTGTGCCAGCACTCGTGTGCAGTGTCGTCAAGAAATCCAGCCTGGACCTGCGCGAGCAAACCCTGAAAAATGTCATTCTCTTTTGTCAGCCCTTCAGGGGTTTTCATTAGGCAAACCCTGCACACAAAGACAGCAAGTCCAGTCACATGCAATGAATTCATCAACACCCCATGTTTTTAACACCCCTGCCACTTCCAACACAAGGCATCGACCCAATCTAATAGAATATGATGGAGCCATGGATGATCCTTTAAAGATGTCAGCAGTAAAAGACAGAAAGAAAAGAGGCTGAGGTGGAGAGAAGAGGCCTTAAACTGGCACTCTGCTGAAATGAAATGTCGCCTCTTTGTTCTGTAGCCACGGGTGCTAATTGGGCCTAGCGGCGGGGAGGAAAGCTGCCGCTGGGCTCCTGTCTGTCGCACCTGTTGAGTCATTGTCTCTCGCATTGATCAGGCAGGAAGTCGGAGTAAGAAGGCTTATGCCTCGGTGGGTGCGTGGCAGAAACGTGGTTCAATTTCCTTTTAGAGCGCCGCTGCTGGAGGTGGAAATACCAATGGTGGTCAGTGGTCAATTACGGTTGACCATTGATTACCTTGCACTAAAGGACAAATGGATCCTTAAGAGTTGGTTGGCGTGTTGGGATTCTGTATAGTTCAGTCACAGTCCTTCCTGCATTTACTCAACATTGCACAATTTGTTCGATGTCCCCGTCGCTATATTTGGACCAAACCTTACCCTGAAGTCCAGTTCTGACAAGATTAGCTGCGGATGGGAAATAATTACTCACACAAGACGAACTGGCGCGATGTAATCACCTCCACTAAGGAGGTTATATTTTCATTGCTGTTTGAAAGATTACACAAAAACTATTCAACTGATTTTCCTGAAACTTGTGGGGTACGTGTCAAGATGGAACTCATTACTTTACAAAACTGAAACTGCAATTAAACGTTGGTACTGGCTAATGACATCTCTCAGTTTGTGCATTGTGTGTTAATGGAGACACTGTCGCTGTTTGCAGATCTTCTAAATATCACAACTGTTTCATTGTGTCAAACATGTCACACGCATCTGCTGCAGTTGAGGATATTAGTATTTACACTGAATACTAAGAGGAGTCACAGCTGAACCAAGGGCGGGGTGTGTTGAAATCATTATTTGTCACAAAGGTACCAAAACGACCAAATACAAAGGTGTAAATGTTTTTGTAAAAGAAACTGATATAAGCAGCTTTTACATGAACTGAACTAAAAAAACTCAAAGCTGAAGAGCAAATAACAGAACTTGGTCAAACTCATTTAATCATTTTAAACTAGATTTACTGTGCACAAAGAACATTTCACTGATCACATGGTATTTGTAATGAGTATTTATAATCTCTGATCTCTATGCTATACATTTTCATGTTGTTTGTATTTATATGTCAAACCTTTTTGATAATTCTGCAAAAAACACATTATATGAATAGAATGGAAAAAAAAAAGACCTATGAATGGAAGCATATTCCATGAATGAAATACAAGCGTGTACATATATGCTTACACACATACACACATATAGGCTACACCCACACACACGAGATCTACACAAACACAGCTTAAGGTTTAGGACCCCGGTCCCACAGACCATTGAGTGTGATGCTAATGATGGTAATTAATGGAGCCTGACAGCACAATCTGCTGCCCATTGTCTCCCAATAAACAGCTTTACAGTCCACATGAGCCACAGAGGGGACGGGAGGTTTAAGCTGAGACGTTGAGAGCAGGAGACAGGCCGGGTGGAGGGTCGGACCTCGGGGGACAGCACTGATCCTGAAGTGGGGATTAGCTCAATTAGGGAGGCACTGTCTGATCAAGATGCAGGGTTCAATGGTACCTATGATGTATGTGTATTCGTGTGTGTGGTGTGTGTGTGTGTGTGTGTGTGTGTGTGTGTTATGGGAGAAGCCTTCATTAGAGTCGACTGTTGCCAGTATTTGTTGCTGTGTCTGCTGATGCAGCTGGTGTGAACAATACGTCAATGA